CGAGAAACCGGGGTTCGAGGCAGGAGAAGGGGCTGGAGGAAGGTGGAGCAAGGTGGAGGTGGTTGAGGGGTCCGAGCCTCTGCCCTGAAGCAGCACTGGCTGCTCTTCTCAGTGGGCGTGGGTGGCCCAGGGAAGGATGAACAGTCTGTAGGCCCATGCATGGCAGGCTCTGTCCCCAGGGAGGGAGGTCCGCCACAGTGGCTGGAGGTTAATGGCTTTTCTGAAGATCACGCTATGAGTTAATTGCATTCCTTAGTTCCACGGCCAGCCCTTGTCAGCTTGGCCATTAGCATTGGTGGGCATGGGCTCCCCCAACCCCATCAGCACACACATCAGCCCTAGCTCTATCACTGGGACCCTAGCATCAGGCGAGGAGGGCCTTTGAGGCTTCCCTCCCCTGGCACACGCACACATGCATGCACACATGTACGAGAAAGAGAGAGAGAGAGAGGCTGGCATCCCTCTGTGATTCTGGCCACGGGATCATTCCTGGGGGCTCATCCTCAGAAACCATTCAGGGAAGGGCCTGTACCTGGCTGGGCAGGTACTCACCAGCCCTCACTCCCTGGCTAGACATCAGTGGTCCCAGAGAGGACAGCGGCATCCATTCATGAGCCTCTGCCGTGGGGGGTGGGGTGGCCCAGGGGCCAGCAGCCTGGACACTGGGCCTTCCTGAGCACAATGAGTGACAGGTAGGTGGTCCAAGCCACATGGGTGCTCCTTGAACCTAGAGCTCAGGAAATGGGGTGGCTCCGGAATGAAATGGTTTTGGTGTCCTTCTTGAATGGGGTGCTCCCAGGCACCACAGAACCCCAAACCAGCTTCTCTGAGCTGGCTTGGTAGCCAGATCGTGCTCCCAAGGATACACCCAGCACCCCAGTTACTGTCTCCATATATAGGCCCCCGTGACCCCAAAGTGAATGCCACCCATCTCCCCAAGGGACAGAGCAGACATAGCTAGCCTTGTCTGGGTCTGGGCATTAGTGTGACAGGCGTCAGCCCCCACCCCATGCCCCCACCCCTTCCCACTCCTGCCACCGCAGCGGGAGTGGCCCGACCCTGGTGGTTCTGTCTCCGTCTCACATCAATAACTCCCAGGCGGCGGCGGGCAGTGCGTTTGTACTGACCTTTAAGAGTGTTGGCTGATTCCCGCAGGGCAGCTTGGGAGGTGGGAGCTGCTGCCACTGTTGCTGACAGCTCCTGGCTGGGGGCAGAGAGGAGGCAGCCACTTAGAGAGCCTGCCCTGCTGGCTCCCAGTCCCTCCCCACCTCTGCTGGA